AAACAAAACAAAAAAAAAAACTTTCCTCGCGAAGATTGTTTATTGAAAATATCTCTAATCGAATCGTACGTTCGTTCGTTCTTTCTTTCTTTCGTTCATCCATCACGTATTCTTTTAATATTACAATCGATTCCAGGTCATAAACAATGGGAAAATTTTTTACTTTAGACCCTTTCGTTCCCTGACGTATGCGATCAGTTTAATATTCGTTCAAGGCCCCCCTTTGCCCGAAGGCAGAAAGCCTTTAAATTTCGCGGACGAGATCGTATAAGAGAAAAAGAGGGAGAGGGGTGGCAAGGGGTGGGTGGGTGGGGAGGAGAGGAAGAGAGTACGTTCGTTCGGCCATACTCTTTACGTTCGCCCACGCATGATTCTCTATCTACTAATACAAGTTTCCTTCTCTCTTCACACACTTGTAATAATTTACTCACTCACTCACGTACGTACTCACTGCTGCGTACATTATATATATATACACATGTACATAATATGTATACTTGGATGAGATACGAGGAGCAATAATTTTATGGCGTGTCCCATCAGACGCAATCAACTCGACACGGGGTATTTATTTCTTTTTTCTTTTTTTTTTTCTTTTTTTTTCTATCTTTTATGCCTCTCCTGCGTTACTAATTATTCCTGATTGCGATAAACTATCTCTCGACGATATTTAGTTGCAACTATGGCTTTGGAAAATATGCGTGTCCTCGTTCCTCTTGTGTATTTGTTAAAAAAAATATATTTTCCATTTAATCAATTCATTGTTGCAAGGTGATATAGGTATATGTAGGTATACGAGTTTTGTTTCTTTTTTTGTTTTAATCGCAGTGACAACTGCGCGTGACATTTCATATATTTTAAATCATTATAAAAATGTCGTATTGAAAATTTACGATTAATCACGGGAGTATACATATGTATGCTTATTGTCAATTTGAAACAATTAATATTCTTTAGTATTGGATATTTCATAATTCTTATTTAATATAGTAGTAGTATATTTTAGGATTGTGAAACTTTTAAATTGATATAAATTTTATTGCATAGAAAAGTATGTTTTTATAAGAGAGGTAGAATTTTACATAACTGATAAGAAAATGAATATAATCAATCGTCTTAAAAGCCAGGTATCGATTATAAAAATAATCATTGTATTTTTATTATTTCTCGTGTAAATGCAAATACTCATACGAGAAAAATGTTGTAATCATTTAAATAAATTTATATTTATTTTATATTTTTCTAACAATAAAAAAAATGTTCTTTTGCAATTAGTTTTATATCAATTGGAAAGTTGAATAATCCTAAAATATTAAATTTTTTGTATATACAAAATTCAGAAGCTTTTCATTACAAGCAAACATCAAATATCAGAATACGAATACTCCTGCGACTCATTCTATACATCTGATAATAATTATTTATAATTAATTCTAATTAAATTTACTTTAAATTAAATAATATAAAATGTGTGTACTCTAAATAAATTTATTACATCCATTGGAAAAGCGTGCCGAGAAGATTTTTTAACCAGTTAACGGATTAGAAATAATATTTTTATCGCTTGATTTTCATTTTGTATTTACAGATTTTCTTGAAATAGTAATTTGGCTAGATGAAAGGAATAAAAAGCTTCGGTAGACCTTCGTCTAAGTGCTCGACCATCTCTCTCTCTCTCTCTTTGCCTATTAATGGGAGTACCGTCGGCGCGTATTTTCACCTCAGATGTATTCAAAATTTTGGGTGTGGTGGCTTAGAATGAAAAGAGAAGAGCACGCTTACTATAGTCGATATGTAGACACGAAGCTTTCGAAAGCTCGGCCGATATAACACGATCCTGGTGCGTAGACAAGGCCATGGGGGCCTTGCGATACCTCTCTGCACGGAGATTGTACATAGTGCTTGTATGGGGGTTTATGGGCTTGGAATGGGTAATGGCTGCTCCTATCAGCTCTGTACACTCTCTCTCCCTCTCCTTCTATCTCTATTTCTTTCTCTTCCTTTATCCTTCATTCACAACAACTCTTTCTCTTTCCTTCTTTCTATTCCTTCCTTTTTTCCAGGATTCCTCTCGTTTCTTTTTTCTTTTTTTTTTACACTATTATTCATATACTTTATTTCATAAATTAGGAATATATTCAAGTATATCTATATTTATATTATATAATAATAAGTTTATATTTAGTTTCACGGTCAAAAATTGATTTCGGTTATACAATGTTTTAATGATAATGAAAATAATACTTGGATCACTCGAATCGCGTCATATATTTACAATTACTTAGATTAGATATTATTTATATTATGATTGATCTATAATTATCTTTTTATTTTTATTGTTTTTTATTTTTTTTTTGGTTCTTTTTTAGATAAGCACAAATTCGGCAAGCCCCAGTAATATTTTACTGATTTAGATACGTCTATTGTAATCCTTGGATGCGGAGTACTTTGCATGTTAGATACTCGTTGAACTCGCAATTTAGGACCATCTCAAACAAATAACCCTAACCGAGGGAAATGACTTTCCTATGGGGAATTCCATTATTCGCAGGCACCACACTATTCGTCGAATTTCGAAACGTAAAACAGATAGGAAATACTTTTCTTTCCCAAACTTTTGATATACCATACCACCACAGCATTCGATTTCGGATCGATTCTCGTTAATTTATCGATAGATAAATAATTTAAACAAAAATTCATAGAAATATAAATTATGTAAAGAAAAATTTGAAAAAAATATTTTCATGTTTTTACATTCTTTTTGTTTTTTTTTTTATTTTTTTTTTTTTATTTTTCGAAGAAAAAAATAAGAAGAATTTGTTATTTTCTATAAAAGGTTTTGCTTGTATACCATTTTGCGTAGATTCGTTTTATTAGATAACAATTTCGTTCGATAAGAAACATTAAATTGAACTTATTTGTTTGATATTTTTACGAGAGGGGCCACGTTTTATTACGAAACGAGATATAATTGATAAATGATAAAACATCAATCGATTTATTTTTGATATAGATTTCGTTTCCAGTGCGTTTTAACGATAGACGTTATCCATTATTTTCGATTAATTAATATTAAATTAATCCTTGGAATATATACAAAAAAAAAAATGTCTCACTTTCTCGTTACGCGTATTATTAAATAAAAATGAGAGATGAATCGTCGGGCGAATAAGATACGAGTAAAAGAAGAAAAAAAAAAGAAAATATTCACTCATATTTTATCGTATAAGAAAATAAACAAATTCGTATATCCGACAGTGATCTTCGAATTTATTGCACGGCGATCGAAAAGACGGGTCTCATAAAATAATGTAAATAAAAAGAAAAAGAAAAAGTTAAATATAATAAAAATATATTTTTAGCAAACGCGAAATCATATTTTGTTAATAATAAACGAACCGATTTGTATTCAATACAATCAGAAAAATCAATCAATGAAAGCATCGCTTAGTACTCGTAACTTTTGATTCATTTTGATAACGATATGTTCTCGACATCCCATTGAGTTTATAATTAATTTGGTCTACGATTATATATGACAGCTGATAACCGAGAGTTCTTTATTTACAACCATTATATATTTTATGCACGTGTATGAGTACACGCGCGTATCAGAAAATATCATCGATTTGTGTCAATGGGACAATCAAAATGAGCCAACAGTGTTACATCTATTTGAAAAAGTAAAGAAATAATAGTTAGTGTATTATGATAACATCAAAATTAAAAGTAAATCAGTATTATCGTACGATTATAAATTATTAACAATTACGCGGGCGGGTGTGGATTGGAAAGAATTTCGAGTCTAGTATAGAAACAATTTTTTTTTCTTTATCAAACTTACTTTTATTAAAAAAAATAAAAATTTCTCTTGGAGAAGGTGACCAGTTAAAACTGTTTAAAAATTCACCCTCGTATGTAACTTTGCAGTATGAATAATTATCAATATTATTTTTGTATTGTATTTGTAACAAAAGTCTGTTTTTTATTTACTTCATAGGTTTATCAGAGAAATGTAAAAATATCTACACAAATAAATTGTTGATAAACGTTCTAAGAATAATTTCCCCTATTAAAAAAATGATATATATATAAATATATATAATGAGCTCTTGCCATTTGTGAACAACGATAAAATTCAAGTTAGATGATTAAAGCGATAACCGATTATCTCGCAATGATAATAGATATTTTTATTAATCGTTCGAAGAACGTAAGATAGGAGATTTTCAATTGTTAGTATCGTGCAGCCTTACATACGAGACGAAGCAACAATTTCTCAGTGATTTTATTATAAATTAATGCAAAATGAGAATTAATTTAACTCATACTTTTAATTTCCAATTGGTACGTTTTATTATCGGTTTTTTTCTTTTTAACCAGACAATCATCGCAAAGGGTGAGTACAAATTTTAAATTTGGCCAATTTTGAAAATCCCAATTAAACGTTTTGCATAACATTGTAAATATAATATAATAAAAGGGAATAATTTATTTTCTCTCGAATGTTGGTTGTCGTTGTTGTTTCACGTCGTTCGCGAGTGCTTTTCTCTCGATGTGTGTATGTGTTTTTTCTCTCTCTCTCTCTCTCTTCTCTTCTCTTCCCATTCCCGTTTTTTTATCGAGCAAATGTCCACGAGATTTTATCATGGACAATTCGAAATGTCCGCGCAATTATTTCACGTGAAAAGTTAATATGCATAATCGACTGAAAATACGTCGTTTTGAGATAAACCGGTGAAAGGCACAACGAAAATTTGCAATTACCTTAATTGACCGTTCGATCGGCAAGCATACAATTGAAATTTTATTCGAGAGAGAGAGAGAGAGAGAGAGATAGAGAGAAAAAATATAACATTCGGATTTTAATTATTAAAGAAAATTATTCACCAACTTTCGCGCGAAACAAAATGAAATCTATGACCGTGCATTTATTTCCCTCATATTTATTCATTCATTTTGTATTCCATGGATTTCGTTAGGTGAGACGACAAATGTCTACTTTGATACTGAGATGATCAATTACAATATTTCCGGACGTATTGTGAATGGAACAAAAGCAGCGATTAGTCAATTCCCACATCAGGTGCGTATCGCGACCAAAAAATTCGAGATATTATTTTGATTCTTATCTTTTACGCGAAATAAATTATTATAATAAATTACATTGATGTAAGTAGGTATCATTGAGACGTTCTTGGTCTGGAAATCATTTCTGTGGTGGAAGTGTGATTAGCGAACATTTAGTTTTATCAGCAGCCCATTGCATGTATCGGTGTGTAATTGTATATCAAAAGTTATTTTTTAAAATAAGTTAAAAAAAAAAAAAAGGTATATCGAATAAAATGAAAAATCGAATAAATGATTTAGCTATGGTGAAGTTATTTTACCGTGGACAGTTACGGTTGTTGGGGGAGAAATACAACTCGATCGTACGACGGCGGCTGGTCAGAAAAGGGGCGTACGAGAAATTATCATTCATCCGGAATTTAATGACGTTACTTACCACAACGATATCGCTATACTCCAGGTACGTACTTATGTAGGTGTTATATATATTTAAAAATTCATTATTTGTAACGCAGAGAGAGAGATGATAATGAAACAATGAAAGACGACATCTTATCTTATCGTTCTATTTTCTTTTTTGTTACCGATATTTTTGGGATTAAAATTTATAAGATAATCTGATTATAGGCTGATCTTATTACGTCACGAATATACGAAGAATCCGTTTAAAGTATTCTTTGTTTTTTTTTTTGTCTTTTTTTTATATTTTCCACAGTTAAAAGTACCATTTCAATTTACGGCACAATTGAAAGCAATACAATTGCCAATAGACCAATTTCCACCAGGTACAATCTGTCAGGTATCAGGTTGGGGTTACCCTGAAGAGGTAAGTAAGATTATTTATTAAATTTTTTATTACCTCGATCATTTGGAAAAATAAAATTTTGTACAATTCGACAGAACATTCCAATCGTGACCAACGATTTGATGTACGTGGATATGCCAATTTTGAATGTAAAAAATTGTCGTAAGCTGTTAGAAAATGTGACGAATTTACCACCGGGGATGTATTGCGCTGGTTATATCGATGGTTTGAAAGATGCATGCCAGGTAAGAAAAAAAAACAAATAATAAAACGATTTGATTCATGACACACATGGAAACGCAAATTATTGATCTTAATTAGAAAAAATGGAATTATCGTTGTATAATTTTGTCAAGAAATTTGATTCGTTCATCTTTGAAACTAACCGTTATTTACTCACGTCTTTATGATGCTTATCGAGCGACTATTCAACATGTCTCGTCTTCGTTATCTCGGTTGACTTTGTTTGACCAAACGAGGAGTACGATTATTAAGCAAGAGTAATGTATTTTTCCAACGACTATCGAGAACGATTTCTAGAATATTTCGATCAAATAACATTTTTCCTATTCGTATTTATCATTTACAAGCCCATTATTTCTATTTAATTTATTTTACGTATATATATATATCACGTTGAAAATATTTATTTTTTAGTATACGCGCGGTAGTGCCTCCTAATGAAATTTCCTTCAGACTCTGATGTATATACTTTTTACCCTCGAGGTAAAGTTGTTTAAAGTATCGTAATTATTTTTTCGCAGGGTGATTCCGGTGGCGGAATGGTTTGCGACGGTTTTCTAACGGGTATCGTTTCCGCCGGTGAGGGTTGCGCGAAACCAAAACTTCCTGGAATTTACACGGACGTTTTATTTTACAAACACTGGATAAAGTATCCCTTAGCTTACGAGAAATCCGTCCGAGATGATTCAGATGAACATTATAATTCTGCTAATAAGATACAATCGACCGCCATTACGATAGTTACATTTATATCAATATATTTGTACAAATTGTTACTGCTTTAGTAATAAGTTCTTTTTTTTTTTTTTTTGATTTTTTTTTATTGAATTATTGTCGATTTATTTGTACATTTTATTTGTAGATGAAGTTGTTCGAATATATTTTTTATACCAGTAAATACGTGGTGTCACCTCTCCCCCTCTCCCCCTTGCACCCATTTCAATACCAAAACTTTGATATTGTTGCATGAAAATAATGATACGTATAGTGTATTTTTGTATAACACAAAATGTATTTAAAGTATTTATTTTATTTACAAGACAGAGTTGATATTAAATTATTCTAATATAATAATTCAAGAGAGAAGATTATTAGAATTAATTTGTAAGCTAACAGATCATCGTAGATACGCACAAGTGTCTCCCCTGGCACACGTTAACTCCGAGAGGATATACATGAGCTTACTTTTCTCTCCCCTTATATTCTCTCTTACTTTTACGTATAAAACTAAGGCCAAGGAGAAGTGGAACATAGCCCTTGTCGGTGTTCGCCGTTAATTGACCTGGACGTACTCGCAAAGATGGGGTTCTTTGATATACATAGATATTTTCCTAACGCGACGTAATATCGTTGGGTAGGAGTTTGCGAGTAAAGTTACTAACTACGGGATCGATAAATTAATGAGTGTTCTGGGAATAATGGATTTTATCTTACTTAAGACAAAAAAAAAAGAGAAAAGAAGAAGAAAAAAAATAAAACAAGAAAGAAATTATAATAACATCTGATAAGGATAAACTTTTCATTTCGATATTACAGATAAACCGATTAATTTGATTACACTTTAATCAAACTTTGAGTAACTTTCCAATCTCGTATTATATATTTTATTCTTAATTTAAGTAAAAGGATCTTTAAATATCATTCATCTGGATATTTTGTTACTTTAATATTAATTAATTAAATTTTCAAGAAATATATTTTGTTCATTCACATTAAAATAAAAATAATATATTTATATTTATTTTCAATATATACACGAGAGTTAGTAATAAAAGTTTCGAAACTATGTCGAAAAATAAAAGTAAGAGTATGATAGAAGAAATAAAAAACACATTGTTTTTATGTTATGGTGTAAAACTTCCCGACTCCACTTACATATTGAATAAATCTATACGAACTTTTGGGGTTAATACTGAATAAATGGAAATAAATAAAAAGGAAAGATTTTTACCTGAACATTAATAAATTATGAAAACTAAAGTTAAACACACAAATGTGCGATCTTAGTGAGTCAAATATTCGTTTGATCCTAGAAATCTGGTGGATGAGTGTAAAAGATGTACACGTGGCTTATAAAAAAAGAAGAAAAATGTATATGAAGAGAGAAAGTAGGAAGGAAAGAGAAAGAAATAGAGAAAGCAGAGAAGCCCGATGACGGATCCGCTTTGATCTCGAACCAAAAGCCAGGATTCTGTATGTGTGTGTGTGTGAGAGGAAGAGAGGGGGCGTAAAAAGCTCGTAGCTACTTGTTACAAGGTCGAGATGATGATAACCGCTCAGCTACTACCTCCAGAAATGTATTAGCGATATTACTGTCTGCCATTCCCAGGGAAAATCGTTGCCAGTACGCGTATCTCCTCTTTTCTACTTTTCCGAAAGCCTGTACGAAAAAAAATACGTTCGACTTTGACGATACAATCCCACGACCCTCGAGAGCTCGACATTTCGCTTAATATCTTTTTTTTTCTTTTTTATTCTTTCCTTTTTTCCATTTTTTTCTTCTTCCATTTTATATCAATAATACGAAACGAAGCGAACAAAAATTTTAAATACATTGATCGTCGAAGTATCGATTAAAGTTTCATTTCGATTAGTATGATTATCGTTAACACTAAATTTACGGACTGAGCCAATCATTTGATTCATTTCCAATTTTTTTCCTACACATATATATAGATATTATTTTTTTTTTAAATATATGTTAATTTTTTTTAATGCCGTAATGAAATATGTTTAAATATTAATTCCTCCCGCTTTACCCACTTCTTCATTCAAACAATGTTTGTAAATTTATCAAAAATAGTGAACAAAACTTCTGTAAATTTAGTGTTAAACCATTAAGTACGATCGTCGGATATATCCGGCATCCGTCTGATGACCTGACCTGATTCGTCTGATAATTTCTATCAAAAATATAATAAAAACGTATAAAATGTAAATCATTCATATCTAAATAAAAGAAAATATTTTCCCTCACTGTTCAATTGGACTAAAATTTCATTCTATATTGAGATATATGTATTATTTTTTTATTTGAAGAGTTCATTTAACCGTTCACGATAGGAATAGAGGTATACATGAAGTATCGATAGATTTTAACGTTAAACACACTTCTTATTTAACAGTAAGGAAAAAATGTTCATACAAAAGTAAGTGGCGTCACATCACGATAAACAGAAAGAGGTTCCTACCGAATTGGTTAAATGGATATCCGTTAAGGAAAGATAATCCTTTAGGAAGCCTAAAAGTTGACTATCGAAAGGGTTTCAAAGGTATATCCGATCCAACGATAGATAATATACACGAACAAAGGTTTTAACTCAAAACCGGATACATGCGACTAGATAAAAGAAATCTTTTATATAATATGTAAATATATTTTTCTATTTCTAATGTATTACATTCTAAACGTTAATTACAAAACAAAAAGAAAATGTGAAATAAATGGGAAAATGGTATGTAAAAGAATATTTTTCAGCCCTCTCGACGAAATTGCAGAGAAAGAGAGAGAGAAAAAGAGAGAGAGGGAAAAGTTCTTCTTTTTCCTTTTTCTTTTTTTTTTTTTTTTTTCCCCCCCGTTGGCAAGAGAACGTCTTTCACGGGCGGAAACGTTCCACCAATTTTCGTTTCAAGCTCGTGGTATAGCTTATGTACGAGTCCCTCGACGAAAGAGCTTACGAACTCTATTCGCGACCTCTTTAATACCGACATCGAATAAGAATTCATTAGTGTATATATGGGTGGCTCGAGAGAACCGAGTAGAGGGTAAGAGTCTCCTTTCTTTTTTCTTTTTCATTCTCTCTATCTCTCTTTATCTCTTCTCTATCTTTCTTTCTCTCTTTTGACCACACAGTTCGCGAGGGGGCTAGAGTTTTAAATAAATTAAAAGTTTATCTTTTTTACGCACCCAAGAGTAGTAGTAGTACCACCACTACCACTACCACTTTACCTATCGGCGAGTTCGGCAAACGAGCGAATTCGAAGGAACGAAAGGAAAAGGGGCAATAAGGGGGGAAGGGGAGGGGGTGGAAGGGCGTAGGTGGCTGGGCGTGGGGTAGAAGTTGAATATCGGCTACCCTCGAGAGGAAACGAAGTTTCCTCTAATTACTTGTCGAACGCGAATCGAAGCTGAACGAGAAGGAAGGAGGGGAATGTACGAGAAGAAGAAGGGTCGACTCGTAGCAGCCTATTCAAGACGTGGGCCCGGCTTCCTTCCTTCCTTCCTTACTTCCTTTTTACCTCGAGACGCATTTCAGCTTGCAAAAAGGGACGGGGAAGAAAAACGGTGGGGGAGGAGGGACGGAGGGAGGGGCCGGGGAATGAGTAAGAGAGATATTTATTGAAGGATCCAACAAAGTGAACCGAAATGTGTGCGAAGAATAGAAATGAACTTTAATGAGAATGAAATGTTAAACTTGTAACGTGTGTAAGTAATGTATGTATATATATATACAATTGTATTTTTTTAGATAAATGTTTTAAAATGTAATCTCGTCCAAGAGTGTTATTTTTTATAATATATATTTTTATTCAAAAAATATATATAAATGAAAGAAAGAAAATACGTGATTCTGAAATAGAACGGAATATTGCGTAGCTTGTTTTCCAAAGTTAACCTCCATGGTGTTTCTCAGTAATACGGAGGAGGATAAAGGACCACGGAACGGTCGCATTTGATTTCACGGGCTATAAAGCTGCCTAATTGCTCCACTGGCAGGCGTGGCTACTTTGCTTTTGCGGATGACCGTTAACCGTTGACCGAGAAACAAAGTTTATATTCTTTTAACAAGAAGAAAAAAGAGAGTGAATTGTTTTTTAAAAATATTATTTAATATTCAGAATAAAAAATAAATGTGTTGGGTAATAAATATTTCCAAATTTGTATTGGTCGCGAAAATAATTTTGAATGTAAAACAAGAAAGATCAAGGATAGTACACCCCTTAAAGAAATTTCATCTTATTTTCTGGGCCTTTGTTGGTAACATTGTCGGAAACATTGACAGCAAGATGCGTAATTTGTCGAGGAAATTTTCCATAATTAGAAGGGAAAAGCGGCCATTTGCTTTCGGTACGTCTTTGATCTTCTGGCCCTTCGTCGAGCCTAATAGAGTAAAAGAGAAAAAAAAGAAGAAAAAAGAAAAGAAAAACACAGACAGAGATAAAATGAGATAGAGTGAAACAATGACTTGTTCTTACATTATCGATCGATTTAATTAAAATATATCTAAACGAAATTTTCTTAATGACGAATACACAAAAGAGAATCTCGAAGTATCTAACATTTTTATAGATTACGAGATCTTTTCAATCATCTTATCTCAACTTGCTTCTTTTTTTTGTTTGTAATTTCTTCGCGTCCTTTTTCATCTCCTTTTATACGATTTTTATTTTCTTCAGTAGTGTTGGAAAAAACAAAGAGATTCTTTTAAGAAAAAAATAGAGAAAGAGAATAGCGTTTACTTTACTTCGTAGAAAATTATCGGAAAATGCGAAAAGGGTGGGTGGAGAGAGTAAGAAGCAGGAATAAAGGAAGACATCGGACAATCTCATTTTCTATGCAGCAATTACAAACTGAGAGAACAAGCAAGCAAGTAGGTAGGTAGGTAGGTAGGTAGGTAGGCAGATAGCTAACTAAAAAGGGCATTTAAATGGACGATTCGCCATTGCAAGCGAAGAACCTTCCTTCTGTGGTCTTTCAAGCATAGTTACCGGCGACCGACTAATTAAATGTAAACTTGCCGTACTTTTCTCTTTTTCTTTTCTCTTTATCTTTCTCTCCTTTCCT